GTGGAAAAATGGCAAAAGGTGGCCGACCAAAATGGTGCATATTTGATTTAATAAAGTTTATTATAAATATTAAAAAATATGATTTGAAGTTTCACTACAAATACGAAAAGACTTTTTAGACTACCCAATACAAGCATTTATTTTCCTAGACAATTTAACGATAAAGTCCTGCACAAAATCTGTTGATAGAAATTTAAGGTTTTTTTTTATTTCAGGAATTGAAATTCAACCTATTTTTTAAAACTATCTATTTAGAAATATTTAAAGCGTATTTACAAATTGCATAAAAGTCCGCTTTAGTCCAATTTGAAATGGGTGTGCTGAAAAGTGCGGAAATAATTTGATTGTTCTGCGCGCAGACAACTTGGCACGAATTATGTCTGGTAGTACTAACTAAACGACTCGAACATACCACGTATCCGTACCGAGTTGATTTTTATACCCAAGACCCATTTTAAATGGGTTGTCAGGGTATAATGGTTTTGTTAAAATGTATGTAACAGGCATAAGTGGTGGCAGACCCCACAAAGTACATATATTCATAATCAGAGCGACGAGCTGAGTCAATTTGGCCCTGTCCGTCTGTCCGTCCGTATGAACGCTTTATTTTCAGAAGTTATAAAAGCTAGAGACTTTAAATGTATACTCGTGTATACCACACACAGTACGAGTCTATCATATTTTTATACCCTGAACCCATTGAAAATGGGAAATCAGGGTATAATGGTTTTGTTAAAGTATGTAACAGGCAGAAGGAGGCGTGGCAGACCCCACAAAGTATATATATTCTTGATCAGGGCGACGAGCAGAGTCTATTTGGCCCCGTCCGCCCGTCTATCCGTATGTATGAACGCGTCGATCTCAGAAGATATAAGAGCTAGAGACTTGAAATGTTTTCGTAGTTCCGTGTATATCACGCGCATACCGAGTTTTTCTCTAAATATCGATAGCTACTCCCGATATTTTATTATCGATTAAAAACCTTATCGAAAGCTAGTTATTTAATCATATCTCCTACACCTTCAGAGCTAGAGGTTCCAAACTTTAAGTGTAGACTTAAATGTATTTTATATAACTTCGTTTTTTGTTACAATTTAGCCCCCACCCCTATATTCATCCCCTCACCATCACCTTTGTAAAAGGCGTATTTCAAATACTAGAGACATGCTTTACATGTCCATGTTATAATCATAATAAAAAGTTTAATGAAGAAAGTACATCCACAAGAAAAGTTATTGAACAATTAAATTCCCATAGTAAGCAACCACTGCAGCCAATGCGTGTTTATGCGTGCGTGCATCTGCGAATAATTATTGAATTATCAGTTGCTCGAAGCAACAGTCACGACTAGAGCTTTCTTACTTGTTTCAATTTCTTTTTATCGAGAATGATTGATACATTTTTTTTTCCTTCTTTTGTTTTAGCCAAATTTAAGAACTATTAGTTCTGGAGACTTTACATTTACTGTGCATATATATTTGACGAATACGAAGATTTTGTAATTTACAGCTGAAAGTTTATCATATTTTGCGATAACTCATCAGATATCTTTTTATCGAGAATAGTCTATGCATTGATTTAGTTTTTTAGCCTAATTTGAACAGTTTTAACCTGGAGGTTTCAGATTTATATACATTTGATGTATTTACAGATTTTGAAAACCGAATTTTAAGTACTAGGGACTTGTGCTATGGAATATACACACATTCCAACATTAGAGCTAGAAGCTGAAATTTTGCATGTAAACTCGTGTATACGTAGTACAAGATTATCATACTTTTTCGATCCGATATCTTTTTAGCGAGAATAGTCGATGAATTGATTTTGTTTTTTAGCCTAATCTGAACATTTTTGAACCTGGAGGCTTCAGTATTATACGATAAATTCGAAGATTTTCTAATTTACAGATTTAGGATACCACGCCCCCTTCGCCCCCAATTTGTAAAACCCGTATTTCAACTACCATTGACTTGTACTTTGCACATTTTAGCCTTATGATTACGTTCTGAAAGTTTCATAAAGATAATCCTAATACAAGAGACCTTATTTAACAAATAAATTCTCATACTAATTCCCACATTGCAGCGTAGTCGCTGCTTACTGCGCAGTTAGCAGATCGCGTGTTTATACGTGCGTGTGGATGTATGTGTGTATAAAAGAAGTGCAGAATGATTAGAATATCTGCTTGGAGAGTTCTGGGTTTCCCTAGTCAAGCAGTCTCGACTAGACCACTTTTACTTATTTTTTTTTATTATCGAATCACTGACACCTAGAAACTTTAGCGTCTTAGGTATTTACTTACTTTGAAATGGGAACGTGTTAAATCATAGGGACCAAAATTTTGTTCCCGCTTATGTTGTAGCAACCTTTTTATTACCATTCAAAGTCTTTGTTGCAAATGCAAGAATTCTAAATAAATTTGAGTTGCAGTCAGTCAGTCATATCAACAACGCCTACCTCGATGTCTAGCATGGGGAAAACTTGGAGTTTCCTGGTTTGGCATATTTATGACTACAGCCACTACCAAACGACAACCAAAATTCGTCTGGGCAGCATACAACACTGTATTGCCTATGAGTACTAGAAACCTGGCAGCCAACACCAACGACAAGTTTGGCAGGAATTTCTGGCTCTTACGTTTTTGAATAGCCACATGAGATAAATGGACTTTTCGTATATTCATAGTTGATTGTTGTGTCATTGTGGAAAACTTCAATTTGCTAAGCTTTTTTGTACTCAAATATGTAACATGAAAAGTTACTCAGAAGCATTGTTAATAACAATATCACAGAAAACGTAAAAAGCTTTTTTCTGCTGTTGGAAAAAGATGATTCAACAAATCTTAATTTTTTTTATAGACTCGGGTTTCCTTTACTTGAATTATTTCAACTTAACTTATATTTAAAATATGATTGGAGTTTTCAATTTCTAAATGTTTGTAATAAATGTGTATAAATGTCATTCCTGACCTTCATATAATCTTAGTTCATCGCACAATATGATGGAACTCTGATTTGATTGGTACATTTTTTTTGTGAATTGTAAGAATTGTATAAAAAAAGCAAATAATATTAATATATTCATGTTAATTTGATTGATAATTGAGCTGGTATCTGAAAGATTACAATCCTACAAAGCAAAGGATCCTTCAAGCAAATCAAGATTTAGTAGAAATAAGTAGAAAATTTTGCAAAATTAATAGGCTGAAATGTTGCAAAACCGAACATCTAATTCAGTATAAGTATAAACCAAAGTAGTAAGTCGTCGCAAGCAAAATCTAATAAATATTTATTTTATGAATAATATATATTTAATTAAATTAAGCCATTAAAAAAAAAAGTCACGGTGTAAAGTGTCTTAAAATACTATATATTTCCGTATTGAAGTGAGTTAAATATACTGCAGAGCATAGGTCGCTTTAAAATATAATATAATATTAGAATATTTGTTAAATTATGAATTGATTAACTTGTTGAGAATTAAACAATTCGACAAACGGAAATGCTTAGCTGTCGTTTTTTTTTCGGCGTAGATCGATATATCGATCTCTCGAAGCAAAAATCAACAGTTGACGTCTATATTAAATATTTGCTTGGTAAATAAATTCTTTTCGTGGCGACACTGAAAGATAGCAATTAAGCGCTCTTATTATTATTTGTGAAGAAACAAACATGCGAAACCACTTTAGCATAGATATTCATTAATGAGTGGCAATGGCTAAGAGCTTCAGTTGTGGTTATTGTAGCTGTTGGTTTCTACGTTGAAGGATCGAAGGATTTTGTATTACTCTGGCAAATGAACGATACAAATCGAGTGCACTGCTGGCACAACGTCTTACACGTACGCACTGCTTGAGAACAGAGAGACATGAATATTTAAAATTATTAAAAACACTTATTGAAATATCGCGCCTCGCGGACTCCCCGAGTCAGCGTGCGAGCGCACGATCGCACCACTGAAAATCGAAATGAGAACTGAACGTGTTACAACTTGATTCAGGTAATTGCGACCCAAGTGCGCAAAAAT